TCATTTGCATTTTCTCAAGTTATTTAGCAGGCCTCCATTTTTCTCTGCTGCTTTTCTAAAGGCAATTAGGGCTGGGTTTAGCCAAATGCAGGGGTGGTGTGAGGAACCTGTCCCAGGGCTTGCCATAATATCAACTCTCCTAACCAGGCAGCACACCCAGCTGTGGTGCTCTCTGCCACTCAGCTCAAAACTCCCTTTAAATAGCCCTGAATCCACGGTGGGTCTGGACCAGCCCCTGGTCCCTCTGTGAGTTCCCAGACAGAGGCAGCCATAGAGCATCACTATTCCTCTGCAGGCTCTGGCCACAGAAGAGTCTCATGGGAGCATGACAATCCCCCCAGCTCCTACAACATTTCACATGTCCCCGGCTCAGAAAGTCACCAGCCCTGATTGAGATGTTAATGCTGTTTCTAGGGAGCCCCTGCCCTTGCAGACTGAGAGCAGCACGGCAGCCCTTCCCCCTGGGCTTGGCTGCCAGCTAAGATGTGGCACCATCTCCTTCCCCATTTTAGCTGGCACGGATCTGACAGAAACTGACAGTCTGTGGCCCCTGTCCTAAATCTCCCTCCTTCTGGAGACAAGACATTTTTCCCCCCTACTCCCTGCTCACTCTCTCTCAGCTCCCATTCTGCCTGAGCAAGGAGCAGCTACTGCAGCTTTTGAGGGAAACCACTGGGCAGCCACTCCCATGGGGATGCATCCATCTGGGATTGCGACTCCCCTGCAGGAGCTACTCCCCAGAGCTCCTCACAGCCAAGCACCCACTGCTCCTCTCCTCCCTCGCATCAGCTCGGCTTCCCTTGGAGAAAACTATTTATTTATAGCCATCCTGGCTGCCTTTAGCACATTTCAACAGCCCACGTCTTTGCCTCCCCGATGATGCGCCCACAGCATTTCTGTCCTCACCCTGCTGCTACAGCCATTCCAGACTCCTCTCTCCTCCTTGCATCCCCAATCCAGAACCCCCAAGGGACTTAGAAACAGCTTCAGGAGGAGGTTTTAAGGGGAGCTGAGCAGAGAAGGGAGAGAGTCTTACAAAACTCCTATCTCATCCTTCCCCCCCACAAGGAAGCAGAGAGAAACTCTGCTTGCTTTTTCTGTTGGGGGCTGTTGGGAAAAAAACCCCAACTCCTGCCAGCTTGGGAGAGAGGGTGAAAGAAGATCTACCAGCATCCCCTTGGCTCCTGGTGTGCATCAGGGCTGTACTGGAGCACCACTGCTGATGTGTACGGCTGTGGCACACTGGGGACCAACACCAGGCACTGCAATAGAAGAGGTCACCTTCTTGCCTGGGTAATCCTCACTGGAAGGAAAGATCCATCTTTTTATCACCCCTCCTCTTCGCAGGAGATGTGCTCTTCCCCAGTGAGCTGCTGGGGGACCCTGGCTTTCCCCCTTGAGCCCACAAAGCTTTGTTCTTCCGTCCAGTGCTGACAGTTTAATTAAACCCAGTTTGAGAACAGGTCACTGAGGTCAGGCGCTCTCCAGCGAAACCTCAGCTCAGCACCACTTCCAGCCACCAGGACTGCTTAATGAGTTATCCACACATAAATAAAGGAGCCATGCAGGGAGTCCCCCTGCCTCCTGGCCCCACTGCCAAGGACCACCCCCACTATCTCAGACTGAAATGGGCTCTGGGCAGGCGTCAGTTCAATATTTCCAAATTCCAAGGGGAAAACATTCCTCTCCAGGCGTCTCACCTCCCCCATGCCCTCATTTGAGGTTTGCTTCCCGTTGGCCCTTTGCTGCCATTCCCCAGTTTATTTAAGCCCTGACGGATCAGGTTTAACTCCAATCCTTTCCATTATCCCGATGCACAAATGCTCTTTACAGCCAACTTCCATGTAACTAATTGTAGCTCGAGCCAGGCTGGGAGACCACAAAGTACCACAACGTGGCTCTGACACTCAGGAGGGGCACAAAGAGCTCTCCATCCCAACCTGAACCTCAGGGACTCCTCTTGTGCTCCTGAAAAACTTTCATCAGGTTCAGCAGGAAAGGTACAGTGAGAAACAGCTCTGTGGGTATCACATACCCCTAATTCAACAGACTTGTCTTCGTCTTCTGTGTAACTGATGTGCTGAGAAAGATCCATCAAGACTATGCCTAGAAAAGGCTAGAGCACCCAGGCCAGCACCCAAGGGCCCATCTAAGTAACCCCCAGCAGCTCCTACAATCCACCCCTGGCTTTCTGCTTCAGCTGCCACCAGACAGCCTTATTTCCCAACCAAACAGATCTCAGCCTGACTCATTCAATCAGTTTTTGTTAATTCAAGACCTGCCAGTACAATGGTGTGAGGACATGAGGAGCTAGCAAGGACTCCTGAACTCGAGAAGCATGCCATGGGTGGCTGCAGTCAGCAAGTCAAGGGGAAGCCTGTTTGTTGGAAGTGATCTGGAGATCAGGGTTTGCAGGAAAATGGTGCTGGTAAGAGCCTTGTTTTCCCAGACCAGCACAGGTCCTGGCCTGTTTCTGGGCAGGGAAAGGGTCTTGAGCAGTGGGGCCACCTCAGATCCATTTCAGCAGTTAAACAAGTGCAAAGCCCAGTGGGGAGGCTCCAATTTCGCTCAAGGAGAGCTGATTTCAATTTAGCTTAAACCTGTTCCCCACTGACTCATATCCCTGTAGCCTGACCCGGGTTTGCAGCAATTTAAGAGTGTCCTTATGACCTCCCGCACTGGCTGGCCTAGCTCTGGTCCAGATCCCACCTCCTGCTGAGTAAGCATGTGTGTCTACACAAGCCACCCAGGGCACCCCCTGAGCACCTCAGTAACCAGCAGTCCCAAGGAGAGGGAGCAGCAGGTCCTCTGGCACATGGGCTCTGTTGCACAAATGCAGAACTTAAGGATCTGCCAGGATACTGGCTCCTGGTTTCCCTCTGGGCAGACCCCAGTGCTGCACCCCTACTCTCATTAATGTGTGTGGGGGAACCTGCTGCAGAGGAGGCTGGAGGGTGGCTCAGTGTGTCCCCTGTCCCCAGTTCCACTGCTCATCACAGGGACCCTCTGCTCCAAGCACACATCAAAGCTCCCCAAGACATGGCACCAGCTATAGTCGAGGAGCTGCAAAATCTGAGCCTGTGCACACAGCCCTAGATTGAACAAGAAAAGCTCCAGGTGCTTTTCCCAGGCATCCTGTATCCAGTATCCAGGCAGTTTGCCAAGGCAGAAATGACCAGAAAACAACTTCAAAACAGGGTGGGAGGGAAAAGGGGGTTTGAAATAACCCCCACATTGCAGTAAGCAGTAAAACAACAGGAGGAGGCTGAAATGCACCTGAACATGAGGTGGCTGCAAGGAACACCTTGCATAGACCTCTTAAACCCTCAGGTTGTGTACAGCCCCCTGCACACCGTGGCACAGTCCTGGCTCCACACGAGCCTGGCAGCTGTGTAGGGGCACTCTGTATTTGTAGGAGACACACATGCTGCTCTTCTGCATCTCCACAATGAATTGTTAGGGTTTGCTTGTTGAAAGAGCCTGGTATTAAAATCTAGAGAAGATTAAAAAGGAAACAGCAATATTTGTAAAATTATTCTCTGGCCTGTGTTTCTGTTATGCAATGGGTGGCTGGAGGAGGATGGGCCCTTGCTGGCGCCATGATATGGCACAGCTGAGCTCAACAAATGCCATTTGATAATTAATGGGACGCCTGTGCTATCAGCTGCCATTACCTAGGCCCATCTTTGGCACCTGTCCACCACTTCACACATCCCATACTGGCAACCCACACAGCGTTTTAACCCTTCATTACCCACCCCAGGCTGGACTCTGGGACTGACTCCCTGGCACTGTTGGAAGAAAGTGATTCAGCCACAGCCTGACAGCACAGGCCGGGCTGCCTGGCCCGAAATGGCCATGCCTGTCCTGGGAATGTCTCAGCACATACAGTTATTTCATCCATTCCTGCCTTGCCTCAGCAGGGACCTGGCATCCTCACGTCACAGCTGATCAATGGAGATACAAGATGCTGCAAGCAGAAAGCTTGTGTCCTGGCAACCATCACCCCAATCCACAGGGTATAAGCTGCTTCTCTGAGTGATAGAGAGCACCCAGCCCCAGTCTGCCACACACCCTCTGCTCCTCACAGAACCCTTCCCAATGTATGTAGTGCCTGACATAGCTGAGAGCCTGTAAACACTTTGTTTGAACAATGCTGGCACTGCTGAAAGCACCATTGCCTGAGCAAAACAGCCCCAGGCAAGGGAAACCCAATATGGAACAGAGAATATTTATCAAAACCCCAGCAGCCCTCCCCAAGCAGCCTGCTGCCGCACAGAGGGAGGAGGAGCAGAGAGATCTGTGGAGCTGGGGCTTGCACAGCAAGAGACAGGCCCTGGAGTTGTTTCTGCAGGTGCAGAGGGACAGGCAGGGATGGGGACACGTAGAGCAATGCAAGAAGAGGGCAGCAGGCATGAAGGGCTGAATCTGCCCTGGGCAGGGCTCCCCCCTCCTTCTTCAGACACCTACAGAAAAGCAGCTCTTGAGCAGGGTTGTGGGGCTCTCTGTGCCCCATGGAGGTCTCTGGAAAGTAACCTCTTTCACCCTCCTTTCATGAGAACCTGGGCTAGTGTGTAAGGGAGCCCTGCTCCAAAGCCTGTGACCCACACCCAGGGAGGAGGCTGAGGTGCTCTCAGCACCTCTCCACCTGACACTGTGCAGGCACAGCTCAACTCTGAAATGCCACACCCAGCCCAGACTGCCAGCACCTCATCCCATATCCCCATGTGTTACAAGGACATCCTTAACACTGCCAGTCTGAGGTCCCTGGCAAGTCACAGCCCATTTCCCACCTTGCTGCATGCTCAGCTCATATAGAAACAGGGAGCATTCCCCTCCCAGAGCCCTCACTGGGACAACACACCTGTAACCACCAGCACACCCCCCGCCAGGAGCAGCACCCTCCCGAGGCATCAGTATCCCTCCAAACCCCATGGCAGTCCCCCAGGTGAGCCCACAGCAGTCCCCAGGGGAGCCCTGCGGGCACAGGGGGCACTTACAGCCGCGACAGCGCCTGGTTGTTCTGGAAGAGAAGCTCGGGCAGGGTGTGCAGCTGGTTGCGGTTCAGCCGTCTGCAGGGACAGAAGAAAAGGGTCAGGGTTGGGAGTACAAAGCAATGACCCCATCTGCAGCCCAGCTGGATGCACCACGCAGAGCTGGGCACTTTGGCTCACTCAGAGAGGCCAATAGAGCAGAGCATCCCACCTGGCAAGGACAGCCCCATCCTTCTCACAACAATCCCAGGCAGGGACAACCACGGGGCACTAATAGGCCCACTCACAATGTTGTAATTACATGCAGAGAGGACTCCAAGCTGTTAACTGCTGACTGCTGCTTAACTGCGCTCTTAACCTGCTGCTCGCTCAGCTCCTCATATTTGCTCGAGCAGCTTGGGATTTTTAAACTGCTGAGCTATTTTACTGAGTGCTGGACCAGAACTTACAGCTCCCTTGCCAACACACAGGACACAGCTGATACAGCAAAAGTCACTTGTGTTTAACCTGCTCCTCACTTCAAAAGCATCAGAAAGGACTCTTAAGATCTATAGAAACAGAAATAGGTGTGCTTCCCAAACTGTAAAATACCACTGCCACGCAGAAGAGAAGCTGTTTGAAGTCAGGCAGCACCAGTACATTAGGGTTTAAGGAAAAAAGGAAAGGATGCTCACTGCAATAAATCCAGCAGCCCCACACCAACCTCCCTCCATGACCAGACACTCACAGCCGCTCAAGCTCCTTCATGTCATCAAATGCCCCACGCTCCACCACGCTGATCTGATTTTCCATCAGCTGCCTGCAGAGAGAAGGGGTCAGCTTTCTGCAAAAGTGGTCCCCAGTGCCCCCATTGCTTCTTTTGACCCAGGGTACCTCACTCCCATTATCCCCTCAACACAACCCAGACCCTTCCCACTCTCTCCCAGCTGGAAATCCACCAGGCTCAGCCCAACACAATACCCTCCAGCCCTGCTGGCTGAGGCTCACAGAAAGAGGCTAACTCCAGCAGCCCTAGGAGGGGCCACAAACCAAGCACAATATCCACCAAGGTGCGGGCATCTGGCCCTTTATCAGGAACTCACAGGACACGGAGCTGCTTCAGCCCGGCAAAGTCATTCTTGTTGATTCGTGTTATGTTGTTGCCGTTGAGCTCCCTGCGGAAAGAGGAAGAAATTAGCAAGGAAGCACTCAAGAGGTGGACAAACACTGGGCCTCCCCAGTAGCTCCCCAAAAATGGCAGGCAGGGCCCAAAGGACCGTAGGGGCTGGTGCAATTCTGTGGCCCTTCACCAGGAATGGCCCCTGGCCCCAGAGAGGACCCTCAATGACCAGCAGTGCTGGGCACACAGAAGTCTGTCTGGCTGTGCCTGTGGCTGGCGTCTTTCATGGACCATAAAGCAACAAGAGGAAGGGGCTCTCTGGCTCCTCCCTGTTCCCGTTCCAGATGCTCCCCCCCCCCGGGATGCATGCCACCCCCTTCTGCAAATGTAGCTAACACCTGCTAGGGTCATCCCAAACGCATCTAGAGTTGTTTAGAGAAGGCGAGGGTAACAAGAAACAAACAAAAGTCCCCAGAACAGCAGGATCCCTGCAAATACCCAGCTGCAAGACACTTACAAGTGTAAGTGACACTTACATGATAATGGCTCCTGCCACTATCGTTGCATCACAACCGGTTCAGTGCACAGCCATTTCACACCTTCTACCTGGAGAATAAGCCACACTCAGGTTTCACCTGCCAAGAGAAGCTTGCACAGGACAAGCTGCTTTGTGGCATCACTCTCTCCTTCAAAAGCCCTGGGTGAGCACAGGGACAGCCAATGCAGCCAGAAAGAAGATGCCGCCCCTCCTTGCTCATTCTGCTGGTGGAAATAAGGGGTACCTACACCCACCCATGGCCTCGGTCCTGCCCAGGCTCTGCTGAGCACCAGGACAACGTGTCCCACTCCTGGACACACAGGACCTCTGCTCCCAGCCTGCTGGTTACTCCTTCCCCAGCTCTCCTCAGCCATGCTCTCCAGCACGCTCCTGCTAGGATTATCCTGCTTTAAAATACATCAAGCCAGAAGCTGCAGAGATTTGCACCTCGCAGTCAGCTTTGCAGTGCTTTTCTGCATTACAGGGTGTGATTACTGTGGGAAAAGCAGGACCATCAGCCCTGGGACCCACAGTCTGCAGAGCTGGGGATCTCTGTGCAGCCCCCCTATTGCAGGAGACATCACAAAGCATGGCAGCATTTGCTTCTCGCCATCAGCCATCCTGCCCAAGGCATGTGCTGGGCATGGAAGGTGCCTACACCAAGGCAGAGCCCAGGGAGGGCTCCCGTGCCAGAGACGCACTGCCTGCACTGAACACAGACACAAAAAACAAAGGGAAAACAAATAAACTACAGGAGGAGAAGTCGGTCAAGTGAAGGATGAGCTGCTGCAGCCAGGGAAGGAAAGAGACAGGAAAGTGCCACCATGGAGCAGCTTGGGGTGCTCGGGCAGCACCACGGGGGGGTCTGTAACTTCCTGAGCCCTGACAGCGGGAGCAGGGAGCAGGAATGCCTCATGTGACATGGCTGGCTGAATACACAGTCCATCATCCCCATCCAGAGCCAAAGCTCCCCTCCACCGGGCTCTGCAGCCGTGCGAGGGGCCAAGGTCAGCGGCGGGCTGGCCTCGGGGCCGCCGAGCAGCGTGTAGGGCCAGCGGGTGCAGGCAGCGCAGCCGCGCACCCCGGGGTGCTGCCATTGTCCTGCTGGAACGGCTGATAATGGCTAATGAGTTCCAGCTCGCCATTATAGCCCCGTAATTACAGCGCTATTCAGCCCCGCGATTGCCGGGCTCCTGCCATTATCCAGCCGTGTGCGCCGCGTCGGGAAGGAGGCTGGGAGAGCAGCGTTACTAGGACACAGATGAATGCGAGCCGGAATGAATAGAGGTTCCTCAGCCCCAGTGATTAAACTGAAACCCACAATTGGGCTCTGCAGCCCCACGGCTCCCAGTCCGACCGGCTCGCAGAGAGCACAGCGGGCTGCCGGGGACGGGTCTCCAAATCAGAAGGAGGTGACCCCCTCAGTGGGAGCAAAAACCGTAGTCAGTCAGGCTGTAAATTCCAGGCTCTAGGGTGTGTCACACGTTTTAGGGACATTTGTCACCACAAAGGGGGTCGTTTGGCATGTACAGCTGTGTGCCCACCTCCTGATGGACCACAGCCCCGGCGTCAGCTAAGGGCAGGGAGAAATCATAGCTTCAGGAGTGGTTTTCTCCAAATGTCCTAAAGGTTCCTTGGCAAAGAAGATTGCCTGGAAGATCCCCAGGGCCAGGCTGGGGACCAAGCTGGAGGTAATGGCACCCATTCGAGCTCTTGTGAGGAAGGGTTCCCAGCAGGACTCCCATGTCACCTTCCTTTAAACATACCCAATGTTACTCTGGCTGTGCAGCCAGAGTACAATTCCAGTACAATGTGTAACTGGAAATTGAGACATCTCCAGTACTGCAGAGGGACAGAGCAGAGAGGCTTGATTTAGAACTGCCCAACCTGAAAGCCAGGACTTAGACCCCAGCCTGCAAAGCCCAGGGTGGTGCTGTCCTCAGAGCACCAGCATCCCAGAGCCTCAGCCAGAGGCAAAGCATGGAAACATGAAGAAACACCAAAGAGCCACGGAAGCCACACACTAAACATGGCCAGTCCCTGCACATGCCAAAACCAGGCTCTGCCCTCTCTCCAAGGCATCTGCTGGGACAGTGCCCAAAGACTGGAACACCAGAAGGCACTGCCAGGACCAGCTACCCTGGGGTCTGCTGCCCACACAGCCCACCCCAGCCTCTGCTCCCTGAATGCCTGCTGAGCATCCTCGGGGAACTTCAGCAGTGGGGCTGGCGGCAATCCCCAAGTGGGGCTGTGTCTCAGGGCCCCCTGACAGTCCTCCTCCCTCAGGAACTGACTCTCTGTGCTCCCTGACAACTGCTCCCAGCATCCTTCCATGCCTTTGTTCAGGTAAATGATGGCCTTTGCAACCCAGATGGGAACGAACAGCAGGTAAAGCTTATTTGTAAGGATGCCGAGGCAACACTGCCATTTAACTTCATGACATTTTTCCCCTCTGAACCCCCTTCAGTTCCTCATGGAGATAAATTACAGTCTGCAGTGCCCAGAAAGCTGGATCCCTGCTGCTCAGCTGCTCACCCACTGCCTCCATGCCCTTTCCTAGTGAAGCAAAACACTCTGCCCTGCTCCACACAGCAGAGCTTCAATAAGGACTGATGTGTCTGGGGAGCTGCCCAGCAGATTGGTTGTATTTCTGGACTATGACTTGAAAGCAGAAACACAAGGCATGCTCTTTCCTCGCTAATTCAAAGGATTTAACACCAGAAAGCATCCTCAAGTTCATTCAGGCTGCCTTCCTCTGCCCCCCCCCCAGCACCCCATATCTCACACTGCTGATGGAGAGGCAGCAGATTTTCATTTGCAACCCTCAAGTTTCAGAAACCCCCCTCCCATTCCTCCCTGGGAAGAGGAAAGTCATTAAAACAATCAGTCCCTTTGCTACATTGCTTGTGGATCATCCCACTCCCAGATGGGATGTCTGTGCTGCAGCAGGGTTCGTTAGACTGGATTTGCATAGTCTGGGTTTATATTTGGTTTCTAGCTTTGGATGGCTTATCCATTCCCAGGGGGTCGGATGTGTCTTTTCCCTTTGCAGGGTTTGGAGCTACACTAACTCAGTAACAACCTCAGAGAGCACAAATGCTGAGAGTTAATTTATTAAATACAGCCAACATGAATGATATTTCCCTGGGCACTGATTTATCAGGAGCGGGAAGGAGCAGACAGCGCAGTCCCAGGATCCCTACTCTTGCAAAGCATCAGCTATTCAGCACACATGTGCCTCCTGTCCTTGTGGCTCAGCTCAGCTCTGCTCTCCTGCTGAGGCAGAAATCCTAACTGCTCTGCTCCCTGGAATCCTGCTTTTAAGAACGCAAAGTCTGTGAGATGGATTCCTGCATTTGCACCCACCAGCACCAAAATGTGCCCTGGCCCATCAGGGCGAGCATAGAGCAGGTGCCCACAGCTCTGGGCAGTGACTGCAGGGGCTGGTGGAGAAGGATCTGTGCTCCTGTGGTGCTGCTGCTGCCCCTGCCCTGGTGCCCAGTGGGGTTGGTACGTGTATTGTCCATGAGATCTGTCCCTCCCTCGACGATCTTCACTGCTCTGCCTTCCCTGCCCTTGCCTCAGAGCTCTGGCCCCAAAGGGCATGGCTCCCCTCCCAGCAGCTCCATAGCCCTCATCCCAGAGCCCTGACCCCAGCTGGAGCCAGCAGTGCCAGATAATAATCAGGGAAGCAGAGAAATGAAGGCTGGAAGGTCACACACCCCACAGCAGTACCTCTGCCACCCTCCATCAATCCAGGCAGATGCACACACTGCTCCTTCAAGGACAGGCACTGACACTAACTACCCTGTGCCTTATTCCAGCACCATTATCAAAACTCTGACCTGAACCCCTCCCACAGCACATGAACCCCATCTCTGCCTGCTCAAGCCACTGTGGTGCAGAGATCTGGCTGCTCCCTTGCCTGTGCAGGCCTCTTTCCCACAGCAATCCCCCAGCCCAAGGGCACAGCTCTCCCTCAGGGCCTCTCTGACTTGCAGGGCTCTGTTTGTGCTCCATTCCACATCTGTGCTTTCGGTGATTGCCTCCCACCAACACTTTCCTCGAGTCCCCAGGCAACAACTTCCTTTCTGTCAGCTCATTCCTCCCATTCACCAAGCCCACTCTGAAACCTCAGCCCGTTCTCCAGCCCTCCTGCATCTCCCCCAGCCTGGTGGCATCTGCAACTGTCAGAAGCAGCTTGTGTCCCATCACACAGACTGCTGATGGAAACACGGGTGAGGCTTCGACTCCAGACTGACCCCCGTGCTCAGCACTGGGGACAGAGCAGCTGCAACCTTTCATCCTACACTTTTATTGCATTTTTCAAGTCTTCTCAAGATTTCACCCGTCTGCTTGAATGTAACTTAGCCCCAGCACAGACTCAAACAAAGAAATGAGGGGCAGAGGCCCTTCCCAGTCCTGCAAGAGCCGGTCCCCTGCAGCACAGCACCACGTTCTCCAGCTCTCTGGAGCCCATATGGCCAT